CTTAAACATAAAAAAATCATAAGATTACCTCTTGTATCAAGGTAATATTCATAAACTATCTAATACAGTATTCATAAACTCTAAACAATTTGAGACTTTAAGCCTAACAACCTAAAAGAGTCTTCGGTCAACATTTTGTTTCTTTTTCATCTCAGAACAAATTACAATGCAAAGTCCATGCTACTTCTGGGCCTTGGTACGAGGGCCATTTTCCCCTCGTACTTCTGTAACACTTTTCCATCATACTTCTCTAATATTATGCTAAACAGTACCCCTTCAAAAAAGCCTTTGCAGTCCAGCTCAGCTGCTGAAAACCCATTCATCACTTCCTTTCTCCCATGTTTCACTGAAATTTTCCATGTAGTCTATGTTCATCTCATCAGCATGCAAACTCTGCAGTGGCATGCTCTTTCCACAGTACACAGAACAATACCATGTTATACCAGATGTTTAATCATATGAAAGAAGTCTTTCATAGCAAGAGAACTATCTTAAAACAATTGTTTTGAAAAATGTACTTTAAAACGTTTGGTCTCTTCAACAACACTCCGAAAATTTAACCTATTATGGTACTAGTTAGTAATACCTTAAAAGCAAATTTTACACATACATACTCTTACATATTTATATACTTACTGTCTACTGAGTGTATGTATTTGTTGTGGTACTGGGATTAAACCCAGGGTCTTCATGCTGAGCCATACCCCCAGTCCTTTTTATTTTGTGACAGTCTTACTAAGTTGCCCAGATTGTCCTTGTAATCCTCTTTCCTCAGCCATCCCAGAGTTCTAGGATTGGCAAAATGGTTTTTATGTGTTTTCGGTAACTTTCTAAAAAAAAATTCTAGCTGGGCTTTATGGCACATACCTGTAATCCCAGCACTCAGGAGTCTGAGACAGGAGACTGCCATGAATTCTACGCCAGCTTAGACTACACAAGAAGTTCTAGACCAGTGTGAACCACAGAGTGAGATCTTGTCTCAAAAAATAAAACAACTCCATTTTACTTGAATTAAATCATTCTTTTGAGCATCTACTATGACCTTTGCACAATACTAGATATTATGGAAGGGAAAAAAAAAGGTATCTCTGTCCTTAGGAAATTTCAACATGGGACTGGAGATTTAGCTCAGTGGCATGAGCGCCTGCCTTGTAAGCAGGCAGTCATGAGTTCGATCCCCGGTACCGATAAAAAGGAAAAAGACAAAAAAAAAAAAAAAAAAAAAAAAGGAAATTTCAACATGCTTGAGAAACAGACACATAGAAATGACTTAAAAATTACATACTGTACACTGAAGCACTAAATTGTGAGAGATTGACAGTAAGTACTATAAAAAGTCACAAGACAGGTTTTCAAAAAGTTCAAAGCCAGGCATGGTGGTGCACACTTGGAATCCTAGCACTCAGGAGGCTGAGGCAGGAGGATCATTGCAAGTTAGAGAACAGGTTGGGCTACAAAGTGAGCTCATGGACAGCCTATATGGCATACTGAAACCCTGCTTCAAAAAAAAAAAAAAATCATAAAATTTGAGTATCCTTCACAAAACAACTTTAAGTTGCCAAAGAGCCTATTTTTTTAATGAACTATCTTTAGTATTCCTAAAATATTTTCTTGTGGTTAGTTTTTCAAATTACCTCATTAATCACAAATAATTTATCCTTACGATCCATTTTAGTATCTAAAAAAGAAGAAAAAACAAGTTAGCAAAGTATTTTAAAACAACTTCAATCAAGTCATATAGGCTATTAGGAAATAATTTTGTATTTTTAGGCTACTCAATTTAAAGGAGATTTTGTAATTATCCAAGTGATTAGACCTGAAAACATAACCTCTAGATTCTTTTTAAATGTAAAGAACGTAAGTAAAAGTCCTCAAGAACTACAAATTATTTTAAGCAGTATTTCTTAAGACTTAAGGTAGTCATCCCTCAGAACCTGAGAATGGTTACAGGAACCCTTACCGATAGCAATGTCTTGACATGCTCAAGTCTCTTATGTAAAATACTGTAGTACTTCGATATAATCTATTTATATTCACATGCATACTTTAAGTTATTTCTATATATCTTACCTATAATATTTTATATAATACAAGTGCTTTGTAAGTAGCTGATACACTGTATTCTTAGGGGGAATAATGACAAAAGTCTGCATATGTACAGTATTGTACACTTTTTTCTGAATATTTTTCAATCTGCAGTTGGTTCAATCTACAGAAGCAGAACCCATGATATGTAACACTATGTTCTATGAATTTGTTTTCAAAAATAAGAAAATTCTCATAAAGAAGAGTATGTTCAATAAGCCCAGTTTAAGAAAACAAAAATCTGCTTAAAGTAGTATCTTAACCAATGAAAACACCTTTTAATTTTGAATCATAGTGGTTTTAGATTATCATAGAAAATACATGAATTCAATTTTCTCTCGCTAGTTTTAGATCTAAAGACATTACAACAGACTCTAGCTTGGAGTACTGTTGTAAAGCAGCAAGTGACTACAAATAATTAGCCAAAGGCTCTCAGCCTAGGCACAAAATAGCCACAAGATACCACTGCGTGGCTCAAGGTTAAGACCTAAGACATCCTATTGCTAGCAATAATAACATGGCATTCAGAAATAGGCTAAGCCCAATTAAAGTTTTCCAAGTCCTATCCCATACCCACTAATATTTAATAAAGGTGTTTTAAAAGTTCAGAAAGGTATACATGGCAGTCCTGAATAACTCAGAAGAATAAACTATTTCACTTATCTCTTAGACTCTAAAGGCATTAAAATGAAGCCATTAAATGTTTCAATAATATTAGAATATCTGTTTTTAAAAAATGTCTAATGAGTTTTGTAAAGAATTTCTTACAAAATGTTAATTTAAAAATTGAAGCACTTGAAAGGACAAAGACTGTAAGTGAAGAAAAAATACATAATTAGACAAGTTTATAAATAGAAATTTTTCAAGTATATGATATAAATGTACCTGGTTTAGAATGAGGCATCAAGGTTCTCAAATCCTGCATTAAATGTCTTGTTCTGAAATTTATTCCTCTGGAAGAAAAGATAAGAATCCGTTCCTTATTTTTCCACTTGCCCTAGAGAAAAATACAGCATTAAAAGATTTTTAAATCACATATTGAACATGTCTATTTTTTAAGACTGTTTATAAAGCTTCCAGAGTAAATTTCCTTGCTGTTTGCATATGCTGTCACCATCATTTCAATTTTCCACTTTGAACAATCCATTTACCCTTATTTTTTATATCATAAACACTATGCTGTGAATTTCTCTTTGCAACAATTCGTTCTTATTCTCACTATTCTTACTTAGATCCTTATAACCTCCTATCAACAGCAAATCCTCTAAACCACTCCCTAGCTTTCCCTCCAATAGACTGTATGGCCAACTAGCACCAGTTGCTATTGGGGTTTTTTGTTTTGTTTTGTTTTTTTAACAAGCATTACTCTGATCACAATCTTACCTTGCAGGGTTTTTAAAAGAAAGTTCAACATGACATAGTTTTAACACTGGATTTTAAAATATATTTTCACCTCTGTTGCCTAATATTAACCCTATCCTGAAACCAATCCACCAGCTCCAGTTTTTTAAGATTTTCAGCATTTCTTCACTTTTAACATTTTTGATTAGTTAGTTTCTCTTTCTCTCAGACTACTTCCTCTGTCTTTTTTTTTTTGAGACAGGGTCTAGACATGTAGTTCAAACTGGCTTTGAACTCAGCAATCCTCCTGCCTCAACCTGAGTTCTAGGACAGAGGCATGCACCACCAGATCAAAATTCTATCCTTTCCTGAAAATCCAACTCAACAGCTGCCTCCCTCACCATGCCTTGGCTTTTCTCGTAGGACAAAAGTTCTATCTCTTGAATTTCATAGAAAGTATCACAGTGTGACTCGGATTACAGATCCCGTTCTACTTCTTTCCACTCCTACCACAAACCTCTGAGTGAACCCAGTGCCTCTGCACCAAACTAGATTATTCAGTCTTTTTTTTGACAGGCTTTTGCTAACTTGTCCTTTCTGGCCATCCTTGGTCTCCCAGAGTGCTGGGATTACAAGAGTACACCACCACAATGACTTTTTTTTCAATAGGGGGATAGCAGACTTTTTCCTGCTCCTTAAAAGAAAAATGTAGGCATTAACACATGAAACTCTAGCAGAAGTTCAGCTTTTCACAAAAAATATTTTCATCTCTTAATTTGCATAAGACCAAAAAGTTAAGGATATCACTGTTAATAGCAGGGCCACAACTTATATTCATCTTTCAATTCTGAGTCACTTTTTTCTGTCATCACTTTACCCGGGGTTATTATTTGTTCAAAGCTGGAGTATTATGTCAAGAAGGGGGTCACAGAAATTAATAAATCAAAGGTGATCCTTGTCTTAAGCTTTAATTTTTTTTTGTCTTTTTTTTTTTTTTTTTAAATCGGTACCGGGGATCAAACTCACGACTGCCTGCTTGCAAGGCAGGCGCGTATGCCGCTGAGCTAAATCCCCAGCCCCAAGAAGCTTTAACTTTTGCCTCACAGTTAAGCTCATGGAGAACCTGTGCTCACTTTTTATTAAAAAAAAAAAAAAAAAAAAAAAAAAAAAAAAAAACAATTTCAAGAGATTTTAGTTTCCTTCTAAACTCCAACGTTCTTGAAAAAGCAGTCACACTCCAGCTATGTTTGCCATACCAAGGCCAGTCTATCTTGTTACATGGTACATTAGAAAATTGCTGAACCCTAACAAAATCACCTTATCTAGTATAGTTTTTATCGTATTTTGAGCTAAAGATCTGATCAACTAAATTAGGATCGCGATCCAAAAGATAGCAACTCTTTAAAGGCTTGTATAAGCAAGCTTCAGGATTAATGAATGGCACTGGTTCACAACGGCGGAATATGGGATTCTTCACCACTGGAAAACATAACCAACAGAGAATAGACTGAGTAAAAGCATTTTCCCAGAAAAAAAAAAAAAAAAAAACAAGTAAGCGAAAGAACACTAGAGCTTCCGAAACCGGCCCGAAGATACCTCCCAGTAACAGGGGTAAGGGTCGGTACGCCGCCGCCCACGAGAAGGCGGCCACGAGCGCCAGGGTTAGACGTTAACACTGTGCCCAGTCCACGGAAGAGGAATGCTGACCGCGCTCCGGTAACACTCTGGGGACTGGAAATTAGCAGAGCACTAGTTAAACAGGCATCCGAGAAAGGCACAGGGGAGATCGCCACCGCAAGTACAGCCCCTTCTACCTTGGAAACGGGGCCTGGGATACGGTCTTTCTCTGCTTCCTCCATCTCTTCTGCCACAGCCGATGACTTAGCCGGAGATCCGGCATCTTTTTTGTTTCTTTTTGCCTTCTTCGCCTGAACCCGCAAGTCCCCATGCCGTTTCCTCTTGGCCGCAGCCATCTTGCCTCACCACGTTTATTCTTGACAGTACTTCCGGTTCTGTCACTCGCTAATCTCTCCGTTCTCTATGGTATCTTCGCTTGGCTCCGCTGTTCCGCTCTAGCTCTATGGTGCCTTTTTCCGGTTTCGGAGTACTGCACACTCGACTATCTAGCCGTCCTTCAACTCTATGGTTGCCGGTGGCGGGAGGATCCGAAAAGAGCGGCGGTAGTTTCGCTGCTGTCTCTGTAATTCTCCGGGAGTTGCAGGTCTTTTGTTCAGGGACCTGGGAAGGGCTCTCTGGCATCCATACCCCACCACAGAAGTAGAGTTTCCGTCCCCAGGACTTCCTTGAATAAGCTGGAGCTGCCTGGTAAACGGGCTGGTTAATGGAGTGCCTGGCACTCGCGGCGTCTTCCGTGGACGCAGGCCCGCGCCCTAGAGTGTTCTCTTGGTTCGCAAGGGCAGGATAATGACCCGGTAGGGGTTCAGACAGATTCTGGGCGAATGTAGTCCTTTTGGCATATGGGGCATTATTTCTGCCCAAAGTAAAAGCTACAGTCTCAGTTGCTTATTTTAACGGTTTGCAACTTTTCATGCATCACTGTGTGCATACCAACGACGAGGAAACGTATACTGAGGTGACTGACCTCAAAAGCAGAGATTAAGGTAGATCTGGTCAGCCGAGTTAAACTTCCAGGCCCCTTCCACTTGCTGTCGCGCAGGTTAAGATTTCCGGCCCTCGTCAGCACTAACTGGTTTATTGTCAAATCTCTAGGTGTTGAGCGATCTGCGGGACCTGCTCCTTGGAACGAATGTGTGATATACCATGCCCCTCCTAACTCAACACGTCCGAGATGAGAACCGTCAGTACTGCTTAGTGGCCAGCCTTGACAACGTTAGGAATTTCTCCACTGTGTTGAAAGCTATTCATTTCCAAGAACATGCCACATGTTTCGCTACTAAAAATGGAATCAAGGTTACTGTGGAAAATGCAAAATGTGTGCAAGCCAATGCTTTTATTCAGGTATGCAAAGAAGGCACCTTTAGCCTGTGGCACTAAGTTTCCTGAATTCTGGGAGGCCTTATTAACCTGTTGAGTACAGTTGTTCTAATGAATAATAGTTGAAAAAAACTAAGATGTTTTCCTTGGTAAGGAGAAACTTGTCACAAGGAATTAGGTCATTGTTATTTTTAAAAGAAAGTGAAATTTAGACGCTTAAGTGTTTTCATTCTTTAATATAGTAACATCGTTTCCATTTTTACTTTTCTCATAGGCTGAAGTATTTCAAGAGTTTCGGGTTGAGGAAGAGTCTGTTATATTTCGAATAAACTTAACTATCCTTTTAGACTGTCTATCTATTTTTGGATCAAATCCTATGCCAGGTGAACCATTTTATTATTAAAGACCTAACATAACAAGGGAGGAGGGTAGAAGGGAGTGTAGACATGATCAAAGCAAGATATATGCATGTATGGAAATGTCATACTGAGGCCTCTTAATAATTACATGTTGATAATTATAAAAAATAAAGACAAAAGCATACAGAATGGTCAAATAAGAGAGAACACAGCAAGGTATTTTGAATATAAACACATGAAGGTGTTTAGGATATAAACATTTCTTTGGAAAATACTCATCTTTCAGTGGTCAGTCATGGGTTATAATTGCAGTATTGAAGATTTAGTAATTTTTTTTTCTGGACTTTTTGAGACAAGGTTTCACTCTGCAGTTTAGGTTGGCCTTGAAAAAGTGAAGGCTGGCCTTCATTTTGTAGGTCAGGCTGTTCTTGAACTCAGTAATCCTCCTGCCTCAGCCTACAGAGTGCTAGGATTACAGGGATGCACCACCATGCCCAGCATAGGAGATTATAAATTTGAACTAAAAAAAGAAAAAGACTTTGAACATGTCATAAATATTTTCAATTTCATCTTTTCCCTGCCATATTAAGAATTACCCAACTACTTAGTGGCAGAGTAAAGTAGAAATGAGTTCTCCTGACTCCTAGTTTACTGTGTTCCAATTTTTAAACCCTGTTTATTATGTCTAGTTCCTCAAATATTTCCCATATGTATACATTTCTTTAATTTGCGAATTATTTTTAGGAATTCTGTTGGTATGGGTAGAAAACTAAGAAATCCCCAGAAAAATGATTGTTATTTGCTAGGAAATCAACTTGATATTAGCTGGGGAAATTCAGTTCTGGTTCTCTAGAAAATATATTTTAATTTTGCACTGACTGCTCCAGAAAAAATTAAACATTTTCTAATGCAGCCCTTCCCAACTGTTTTTTTCCTGAAAGCATCTGCCTTCCCTTGTTCCTCACTATAGCTCTATCCAGTAAGGAGGAAGAGCTGTGATGTTCTGTTATATTCTTTCTTGCCATTTGTGATTTGAAGTGTTAAAATTTACATTGCCCTTAGATTTCTTCTCTTCTGTTCCCAATATGATCTTAAAATCTGAGAAAATCTAAAGAACAGGCAATATGAAACAGTTCACATCTTGCACAAATTGAGCCTTCAAGAAACAGCACCACTATTTTGCAACTATTCTGTTACTGGCCATTTTTATTCTTATGGAGACTTTCCATCGTGAAATTTTATATAGGCTGACAGAGAGTGAGACAGACAGACTGCCAAAAGAATGCATACACTTACTAGCAATTTGCCATGCTAATGAATATCTGGAAGCTAATGGCTGTCACTCTGAACTTACAGTTGTAGTGGCCACTTATAATTGCAGAGACCAAAATTAACATATTAATCTCATGATTTCTCAATAAATATTAGTATTAAAACATTTATAGTTTTCCTGATATAGGGGGTGGGTTCTGTATAAAACAAGATCAGTAAGGAATAGCTTAGACATTTTTGGTAAGCTGAAAATTATTAGTTAAATTTTGTTCTGATTCCCAATTTTCCTGTAGTTATTCTAAGGACTGTAATTCTTATAAGAAATTTGGCAGAATGAGAATGAGTTATTTTTTATTGCTTTTATGTGTTATTTGGAGGAGAAGCTAAACCAAGAGGTTTAAGCTGAGCCCAGTGTGATTTCTTTCCATTACAGGGACTTTCACTGCACTTCGGATGTGTTACCAAGGACATGGTCAGCCTTTGATGCTATTTCTAGAAGAAGGAGGAGTGGTGACAGTCTGCAAAATCAATACTCAGGAGCCTGTAGGAACTTTAGACTTTGATTTCTGCAGCACCAATGTTATCAGTAAAATTATTCTGCAGTCAGAGGGGCTCCGTGAGGCCTTTTCTGAATTGGATATGACGAGTGAGATCCTACAGATGACCATATCTCCTGACAGGCCCTATTTCAGGTAATGGAAGGCAGTGCAGGGATAGTTCAGGAAGCCTCTATTCAGTCTCTCCACTTACACATTTGTCTAGTTTATGCAGTTCTTATCCAAGTTCCTAGAAGTTTTCAAAAGTTCAAGAGTTTTATTCTTAATTCATAATTTTACAAATCAAGAGACTTAAAACCTAGAAGAGACACAAGTTAGGATTTTGTAGTTAGGTAGTGTTGGCTTATAGTTGAGAAACCTGGTTTTCTAATCCATAAACTAGTAGTGTTTTCATTGTTGTACTACTTACTGTTTTAGGTCAGGTTATACCATAAGAAAAATTGGGTTTAAATGTTTGAAAAAGGTGTTTGTATTGAATGGTATATTCAGGATGCAAAAAGATGTAGACACGTCTTGATACATGGTTTATACGCTTGGTATCTGTTGGTTACTACAGTGTGCATATCCCTTTTAAGACTTGCAGGAATAGCTTAAAATTAAGGCATATGAGAGGATGTGAAAAGCTGAGAAGCAACAAAATTACAGACCTCTAAGTACTAAAATAATACTCATAGATACTTGTAGGTTCAGAACTTGAGTACTTAGGGAGTAATGGTCAGGAAAGCTTCCTAGGGCAAGGCAGTTTTCACCAAGAGTACAATGTCAAGTTAACTAGGTGGCAACAAACAGCTGAAATCTCAGCCACCCGGGAGGCTGAGGCAGGAAAATCACAAGTTCAAGGACCAGCTTGAGGAACTTAGCAAGACCAAGTCTCAAAAGAAAATTTTAAAAAAAGTTAAGGGTATAGTTTAGGGGTAGATTGCATGATACGGCCCTGTGTGCAATGCCAGTGCTCACCTCACCCCCCAGTACCCACTCAAAAAAATTACCAACAATTACTGATACTTCATTCCAACAAATTACAAAATGGCAAGTCTTATTTTTCAGGATTAGAATCGATTTAGAGACTCTTAACAATTTAGAAAAAAGGATCTAAGAATTTTTTTATCTTTTGAAATATTTCAGAATAGTAAAACATAAAGAAGATAAATACATACGGAACAAGAAGTATAAGTTGTTTCTTTTGCATTCCACTTGAGATGAACTGCAAGCCTGTCTTACGGCATTAGACAAATAAAAATGTGGTTTGAGGTGTGTTAAACTATTAGTTAACATAGAAATCAATGAAACTCCACTTAAAGGTATTTCAGAGAATCCCCTTGTTAATGAACTCTTTACATAGATGGCTAGGTACATCACGGTATCTTTCATCTCCAACATCACAAACAGTTTTGTGGTAGGGAAGTGGAAGGTCAGACTTCTTTTTGATGTGTTAAATTTGAGATCTGTGTGAGAACAGGGAGTAGGTGAATGTCAGGAGGTCAGTCCAGACTAGAAATTGAGATTTGAGAGCTGTCCTTATGGCTGGCATGATGCCTGAGCAGAAGATATGCAGAGAGAGGTTATGTTGGAAGGAGAGAGAAAAGATAGACTCTAGGAACAGTAACACCTGGGAGAGGGCACTGGTGCCAAGCAACACTTAAGGTCTGATCCCTTTGCTCATACTGCACTTAGCAGCATGCAGACCCCATGGCAAATCTTACTAAGTTCTTGCAGATTAACAACAAAGAAAAATTTGAAATTGTCTCTGCATAGTTGATATTGCTAAGTGAAGAAGGCCCTAAAAGTGCTTCAGAGCAATATAAGGTACAGACAAGCCATAAGTGCTGATATGCAATAAGGGTTAGGGACAGGATCCAAGTAAGCTCAGTCTTCCTTCCTGCCTCAATTCTCTCTTAGTTACATATTTCTAAATTTAAGGACATAGGAAAATCATTATCAATATATATAGACTGATGAGACTAATTTTCTTCAAATCTGTTGCTAATTCGCTAGTTGCCCTGTCCTTCCGCAGAAGCCTACGAGAATCTTTATTATGGTGTTTGTTAAAGTAATTGTAAATTGGTGGTGAGGGTGGGGTGTATTGTTTTCTGAGATAGGATCTTGGTGTAATTCAGGATACCTTAAACTCAATGTGTAACCAAGGTTGTCTCAAATTTGCAGTGATCCTCCTGCTTCGTCCTCCCAAGGACTGGGATTTACAGGCGTGTACTATCACGCTGACCTTAACATTCATTTTATGTGCCTCTTTGACTCACTGGCATAAGCTCTTGAAGGAAGTGATTATTTAGATGTTTATTGTTGGCACAGTGAACAAATGAGTTGCTTATTTTCTACTACAGGTTATCTACTTTTGGAAATGCAGGAAGCTCCCACCTTGACTATCCCAAAGACTGTGATTTGATGGAATCTTTTCACTGTAATCATACCCAGGTCAACAGGTCGGTTCTTAATATAGAGGTTGCCATTGATGATGACAGTAAGGTTAAATACCAACTTTTAATCAGTTAATAAAAATACATAACATTTAAAAAAAATGAGTGGAAGGATGCTTGATTTACTTGGAGATATGAGATTATAGTAGTTGATGAATAAAACAAGGAGACCATATTAGCAAATTGGATAAATATTGGATTTGATTCTTATATTTGCTGTTTAGTAGTTCTTGCTAATGTTTATTCTTTACTTGGAGTTATAAGCACTGTATGGTGTATCCAAATAACTAATAGGTTTTTATTTATTCTTATACAGGTACAAGCTTTCCTTACTGAAACCCTCTACAAAGGCATTGGTTTTATCGTGTAAAGTATCTATCAGGACAGATAACCGAGGATTCCTTTCATTACAGTATATGATTAAAAATGAAGATGGACAAATATCTTTTGTGGACTATTACTGCTGCCCAGATGAAGACATTCCTGAATCTGAGTCCTGAGTATGAGAATTTGCAGTGATATTTATGCATGTTGATAATAGGCTGTGATCTCTGAGAACAGAACTCTTCATGATTTCCTGCTGTATTTTCTATAGGGAAGAAGGATGGAGAAGATAGGAGCAAAGTCTCCATAGTCTAAACAGTTGCTATGTGTTTTATAAATAAATGTTTCTTGCAGTCATAGATTACCCAGCTTAATGGACTGTCCAGTGGTTCTGTCTTTTGAACTCACAACAGGCATAGTGAGTCAAGATGGAAAAAGTGTATGTTTTACTTACATAGCACATTTCAAGAACTAGAGGTTTAAAGTTTGATGATGCCATATCATCAAATATTGCCATAAATATTTTATTTATTTACTGTTCGATAAAGCAAAGGCATATGGAAATGGCCTGTTAGCTTGAATTCTGGAGAATAAATCTTAAAGCAGACTAGTTCACAAAGTGACCTGTCCAGACCACTGTCAGAATCATCTGGAAACTTGTCAAAAACTCTAGAGTTGACTAGTGAAGTCAACAATCTAAGCTTTCTCAAGGGATTCTGATGTGTGCCAGAGTTTGAGAACTATTGTTTTAACCATACTTAATTGCACCGAGGTGTTTGTTTTCTTTTGTTTTTTTGTTTTTTGTGGTATGGGGTATTGAACCCAGGGCCTCACTGAGCTACATCTCCATCACTTTTTGAGACAGGATCTCACTAAGTTCCTCAGGCTGGACCTTAACTTGGGATCCTCCTGCCTCAGTCTCCCAACCAGCTGAAATTAGAGTGCATGTACTACCACACTTACTCAGAGCTAGTGGCTTTTATATACATTCATCTCATAAACATTCTGAAATTAAGGCATCACTAAACCATTCTGAATAATTCTTTGTGATTTATTTTTAAAATAATACATCTTTTGAAGAAGTCTGTGACAGATTATAAGCAGCCTTCAGAATTACAGATTTCTTCTTAGAGTTGTTCAATGCAGTAAGTACCTTCCATTTACCTATAACAACTTGTTGACGAAAACAATGTACAGAAAACCAGTTATTATGTGATACAGTACTCCTCTGGGTTTTCACTAAAATACTTTTGTGGAATACAAATATTCTTTGTATCTAATAAAATACAATGGTCAAGTTATCTGATACATTTTCTAGTAGAAAAAAATACATGACAAGATGAAGTTTTTATCTTTGTTACTGTACCAGGTGACACTGACATGACATCTCTGCCATGGACTAGCACCCTCGGCCTTGTGGGTATGATGGCTCTGCATGGGGCAGACTGCAATCATGATTCATTTCGCCTCCCAGGCCCTTGCCCGTTAGTGTCAGTCATTGTGAGCATTTCTTTCCCCAAATAAAAGTGGCCTGAACTATGGACCACTTGAGAACCAGTGATACTTACTAGCATGTGATGGGACTTTTAGAATGCTCTACCTTAAAACAGGCCTTTGAGCCTTAGTGGAAGTTGGTTGGGAGAGTATTAGAGCAGGTGCCCTTTCCAGAGGAATGGCCTTTCCAGAACTGCTGCAGGCCTGCTTCCCAGGCACAGGCACAGGTCGGGGTGTAGCCCAGGGCAATCTCAGGGTGCCCCACTGCTGTATAGAAAGTTAGAATTCTATAAAGTGTAGTGTATATTCATGAAGGAAATTGATGAATTTTTTTTTATTTAGATAAATACCATCAGCATATCTGAAGTATAATTATAAAAACAGTGTTTCAAGGACTATAATTTTTTTTCTGTTCAAAGCAGGTCAGAATTATAGCCCATTTAGAATTTGTATGACATCTTTTACAACAAGCCTGGCTATCTCACTCACCCAAAAACAAATAAACTTAAGATGGTTAATTGTTGTTTTTGTTCACTAGTGTGTCTTGCACCTAGAACAGTGCCTATAGTAAGAATTCAATAAATGTTTGTTAGATGAAAGTATCTCTACTTTCACATTGTCTTTTAGCATCCTATTAGTCATTATTCTGATTACTTAGCTCTAAATTTATTTTAATCTAGCATTTTTGTTGAATTTACTATATAAATGGACTTAACCATGTTAGGTATTTTTGCACATTTAAAACTATCATTTTAGCTGCCTGACTTTTCAGCTAGAGTCAAGAAACCAAAAATAATTTTCTTAAAAAATTGGATGTGATGTCATATAACTATAATGCCAGCACTCAGGAAGCTGAGCCAGGAGTATCGCTAGGAGTTTGAGGCTAGCCTGTCTATGTACAATGAGTTCAGGGCCAGCCTGAACTACATCATGTGACTGGATCTCAAAAAAAAAAAAAAAAAAAAAAAAGAATTAAAAAGAATTTAATGTATTCTTTTAAAATCACCCTAACCTGATGGTGCTGATTTAATAAACAATTTCCTATTTATGTGTGTTCTGTTTGATGTAGGAATTTTCATTGTCTTAACTTTGTTTTGGATGCAGTGAAAGACCACGAGAGAAGAGTGCTTCTTCAGGCAGAGGCTTTGATACTAGCATAGTTTCACTTCATGTTTGGCATATGGAGAATACAAACATAATTTTTTAAGAGTTTTAGTTTTGCCCTTTTGGAGCTTATCTCATTTTCAGTGAAATCATGCTTATCATAATGAATAGGCCATCTGTTTTTCTTCTTTATCATTCATTTGATGTGCTTCCACCTAGAACTAATTTATTGCCTCAAAATTATAAGAACAGTTTATTAAATTCTACTTTTCCAATAAAAAAGGTGTTGACACAATACTTTTTATAATAAGCCACAGAATGTTATCCAGGAGTTCTAGTAAAAATAAGCTGCAGTTGCTGGAAGGGTAGCATGTAGCATTCTCAACAGCTTGGAGTAGAAATCTTTCAGAACAAGGTAGGTTCCCTCCTTTTCTATGACTTCACATTGCCTACCCCTTATCATTGGAAATAAATTTTGTTGGTCCTGGGGAGTTGGAGAAGTTACATGATATCCTTGTTTGTGCTTTGCTTTCATCCTCTTTAGATAGGCAGTGTGCCTTCCATACACAGGTCAGGTTATGTGCACCCTGTTGGCAGTCAGTAACCAAGGGGTTATCCACTGTAAGCAGTAGAGAGGCAGTTTCCAATCAGAAATGCCATGGGCAATTTAAGTGCTTCTGATATCCATCTCAGTCATAGCCAGAGGGCTTAGTAGAGTGTTTTCTTTTTGGAATTAATAATTTGTTGAATGATACAAGACATAGTAAGCCAGAGATTTAGCTCAGCGGCATAAGCACCACGTGCCTTGCAAGCGCGCAGTCATGAGGTCGACTCCCAAACCAAAAAAAAAAGTAGCAGTCCTTTGGTAAACTGTTATGGATTAAAGACTGTTGGGCAACTTAACACCAGCTGAATTAAATCACCATGGCGCTATGTGTAGATGGCATGCCTGAAGAAAGTTGCCAGCATAAATAGAGACAAAGAAGAGCTAAGCATTGTAGGTTTCTGTAAATATTGCTGTTTTGAGCTGTTGGTTCTCGTGGTGCTCTGGAGGTGCTCGTTGGTTCTGGAGATACTCGTCATGGCTAACTTCCCTAGTGTAAGTATGACCATTGACATCAGAGGAGCTCAGGACTTTGTTGGTGAGAGTGGCTGTGGTTCACTTTGGGGGAGCTCTGGTTCTTACATCGAGCATCAGTTCCTGGCTCTGGAGGGGAAGACCTGTCATTTAATATCCAGGAGAAACTTGTCATGCTGGCTTTCTGTCATTTCTCAACTTCTTAGCATCAGAGGAGCTCGGGACCTCCGTGTCACAGAGCATGGCTGTAGTACTTTTCAGGGCAGCCCTGGTCTTTGGTTTGGTTTGAGTGTGACTTCTCAGCTCCAGCTCCTTCACCCTGCTGGCATAGACTTTCTAGCTTTCACCGCTGACCTTTGGACCTTCCCAGCACAGATCCATAAAAGAGACTGTCAGGAATCCTCATCAGCTCTAGACCCCCAGTTGGACTCATGGGAGGCATTGTCATGGGAGGCTCTAGGTTTTCATTTGGATTCACACAGGATATTGCAGTGGGATCCAGGCCCTTGGCTGGATATTCTGAGTCTTTAGCGTTGTGGACGTATTTCCTGTACTTTCTTGTGTTTAACTCTGGGTGACCATCATAAAATAATATTATAAATTCTGTGTCTTAATTCTAATTGTTCTCACAACCCCTGATGACAACATAAACAGATAGTCAGAGGTGTGAACTGACCTTGCATGAAGAAATAATTGAAAACCCAGAAACTCAGCTGGCTGGTGGCTGGAGTGAATCTGCGCCATCCTGAGCACAAGGTAGACTTTAAGAACATCTCTTCCGGAGCTCAAGGACCCGCCCAGAGCCCAGCCACACTAGGCTGTGCTTGGCAGGTTTCAGGCCTGCCCAGGACATGCCCAGTGACCTTCTCCCAAACCGGGAAACTTGGTGGCAGTGGAGGTAAATTTGCACAACCTTGAGCCCCAGAAAACTTTAACATTATCTTTTCCAGAGCTCAAGGACCCATCCCATCCAAAGCCCAGGCACACTTGACTAGCCTTGGGCGGTTTGGGGACCAACTATATTACGCCCAGCAAACTTCTTCAATTACAGCATTTGAGAGTAGGTGAAGTGAGTTCCACGGCAGTGGTCTTTGCCCAGGGAGAGCTTCAACCCTTCATCCACAGTGGTTAGGTGCCTGCCCAGCTACCTGAAATATTGAAGGTGGCACCTGAGGGCCTGAGGACCTAACTGGACCAGGCTCAGCAACTTGCATTCAGTCGAGCAGCCTAGGGCACAGGAGACGATTTCCAACACATCCAGGGGAAGCCTTGGAACAACACTGGAAGCATAGAAATATAGGAAAATGACAAAGCAAAAGACCAAAATGAAATCTCAAACCTCCAGCCCATCCCAAGAAACCTTAGGAACTATGTACATAGAAGAAAATATATGCTATACACCTGAAATATCTGAAATAATAGCAACTGAAATAAAAAAGCAACTGGGAAGCTTTAAAGGAATTCAAGCTAGAAATAATCTCCCAGGTAAAAGAAAAAATGATAAAAGTAATGAAAAATGCTTAACATATATGAAGAAGACACAGTTAAAAAATTGGAGGAACTAAACAAAAAGAATCCCGGGATGAACAGTATAAGAAACAAACAATACATAAAGCAGATGCAAAGAGATATACAGGAAATCAAAAATTCCATTGAAAGTTGTAAAAACCACCTCAATGAAAGTGAAGATAGAATTTC